TCACTGAAAGTCCCCTCCTCTGATGCAATTATTCAATCTTTTTTTGTTCAGTCTGAAATCTCAGAAGACTGGAGGTCCATTGATATTCAGCCTCTTCTAAAAATAATAGGTAAGTTTAGACCCTAAATGCTATAGGCCTATATAGTATAACCTACAGTATTTTACCTTGCCTTTCTAAAATCATGAAAATAATTAACAAGCAGCTTTGATATTCTTAGAAATCAAATGCATTTTATCTCATACGTAGTATGGTTTTCATTCTGGTCATGGTTGTGTTACAGCAATCTTAAATGTTTTGAATGGTATTATAACGGTCCTCAATAAATATCACACTTATGCTGTTATCTCTATATATTTCATTTGATTGATTGATTAATTCATTAATTCATTAAGGTTTTTGATACTGTGGTACTATGTTCAAAAAAGAAGAAGTTTCTTTGGTGACAGAAACTCCTTTGCATGTTAGTGGAATTATTTACATACAAAGCTGTGCACAGTGTAAAATCTGATGGTTCATAATGTCTTGAGCCACAAAAGATTCCTTCTTTTTAAAGAAGAAAGAGACATGCATATTCTGACAACAGGCACATTGTGTTGTCTGTAGGCATTCTGTATAGAAACACCTATAGGTGCTGTTTTTATAGCTTTAAAACTGGTACCTTAAGGTAGAAACAACTTTAGGGCAAAAGCATGTCATCAAATCAATATTCTGGCAGTGTGGCGTTACAGAGCATCATAAAATGCTATATGTTCTGAACTGCGGCTTGGTATAGCTGGTGTTTGATTTGAACTTCACACCACTTCTGGCCTTTAATGGAGCAGATAAGGGCATACTTGAATCATTCCAGCTGGCATTAATCTGACATTTACTCGTGAAAAAGTTTCCTGCCATGCCTCAAATACCTCCTTTTAAAATGTGCCTGGTTCCACAAGCCAAGACAACTAAATATTACTGCTGGTCTGAAAAAGACAAAAGCTGTACTAATAGGTTTTATGCGAATACTGTTTGTTGCTGCAACAACGGGGGCTTTTTCAATCATAGCCCGTGTGGAATGGAATAATGTCACCGTGCAAATAAAATGGGACAAAATGAACCAATATATGAAGACAGCCGGTTAGAAGCCTGTATAATTTTCATTTAAATTAATTTCAATTAAAATTTAACATCTTGAAAAATTATTTAGAAATGTTTTTTTTCTAAGGGACTCCTGCTTCTCACTGAGGTGAAACACCACATAGCATCATGTTTTGTGACTTTAGGACACCATGACTTTAAGATCATGTTGAAGAAACTGCCACTCTTTACTACAGTTTAAAAACCTTCAGAGAACATTACATTGGCATTCATGTTCCCAAGGACCCAGGAGGGAAAATCACTGAAGACTGATTTGCCTCTTAGATCTGCACAGAGCCCACAGGATCAGGCATCTGGAGAGGCCCAGGACAAACTGCTCAGCCCGAACTCTGCCTCAGAGGCACAGGTAACCAATTTGCGATCAGTGACTGAATTCACAGGGTCTGACCGGCCTACACCCTCCGTTGTGCACTTGAGGGCCGTAGCAAGAAGGTACTGGTCTAATTGGTCACTGAATAAAGGGCATTAAAAAAACAGGAAACTGTTTCCTCTTCCAGAATTAACCTTTTTTCTATTGCTAACTCTCCCGTCTTGCTCATCGTGCCTGCTGTCTTCCATCCAGCTCTCCTTCTGCACTGTTTTACTTTGCAGCCCTTTCCTTCTGTCTCCAGTGCTCATCGCGGGTGCACAGCAATCAGCCCAGCCGCCTGGACTCCAGCAGGTCACAGAGCGGCCAGCTGCAACAGCCTCACAACCACAGAAGATCAAACTAATTAGGCCAAATGTGCAGCAGGCGAGAGGGAAAGGTCAAGAATTCTGTAACACTGTCAAGAGTAAAAAAAAAAAAAAAAAAAAAAAAGCTTTAACTTCTTCTTTGTCCGGAGGCTGAGATAGTCAACCACATTCATGCTATCCTTAAGGTCATCTATCACTTGCTTCCTGCTTTTTTGGTTTAACGAGCCGGTCTCTTGGCACCTACCCGCCTCCAGGTCTGCCATTTGAAATGTTAAAAAAAAAGAAAGAAAGGAAGAATGAAATTGTAAAAAAAAAAACATGCATAGGACATCTTCTTCTTTCATAATAAGATATGATCTGAAAGAAAACGCCATCTGAATGGCCTTTGTGACGTTCGCAAAATTTACCAAAACCCGGCAGCCTTTACTTCTTCTCTTTGTTTACAAGGAGCTTCGCTTTCCTTGGATACCATTCAGAGGTGAGCAATCCTGGTCCTGGAGGGCCGTCGTGTCTGCAAGTTTTCATTCCAAGTGAGCTCTTAACGAGCTACACCAGACATAACCAGACCCACCTGCTGGCTTACTCCCAGCTCTCATGTGGTGGTGCTTGAAGGAGGCTTTGAAAGACACACTGGCCTTCCAGAACCAGGACTGGACCCCACTGGTTTCACAGGACCAGGCCACCTTACTGAAGCACGAACTGGGGACTGACAAATACAGCATCAGATTTGACTTTTAGAAGCAGATGATCTCATTCAAACTTTAAATCAAGGACAATAACAGATACGTGCGGCATAAATGCCAAAGAATTTCCACAACACCAAAAAGCCCAGATGTCTTGTGTCTAGTCCACAGAAGGTAAAAAGGTAAATCTCTTCTCCTGTTCTCGTGGGACTGTAAAGTACCAAACAAAGAGATGCACGCACACCACTGCTTCACAACACCTGCTTTGCAGCAGATTATATACAGGTGTACAGAGCTGTCAAGTGAAGAACAATCAGGGCCTAAAGAAGATTTCTGTAAGATTATCCCCGCTTATTACCCAACCTTACCTCGCACAAATCCAACTACGGCAAAAAAAGCAAGAGGCAGGTTTGCCTGCTACCCCAGCTGACAGACAGAACTGGCGACACGTGTCGGCGTGTGCCGCCACTTCAAGCAAAGCTATCGCACTCTCTTGTTCAGAATGACCACCCCAGTGGACTTGCTCTGTGGAGGACTACTGTTGACACTTATTACTTTTACTACAAGCACTTCTAAGACTGATACATGCGTTGAATACAGGAGCTACATATCATTTTTTAAGCTCTGAAGACTGCTCTTCATGCCATGTACTGTAAACACACGTTACATCATTACGGCTGTTTCTTATTTGACACTCAGCAGGCAGTACCAGTTTCTTACCGGTCCTCTTCCACCTAAATGACTGGCTCATTTCCCAGTGATAATACGATTTGGCCTTTGTGCATTACGTTTATGTTCTCATGCAGACAAGTGAAAGAGTGCTTATAAAATCGGCACCTCCGTCGTCCCTCCTCCCTAAGCAATGTGAAACGGCAGAGGGAAAGTGAAGACTCACGACGTATGAGAAGGGGCACCTCAGGAAATAAAGAGGTTGTTTTCCTCGCAGTGCGAAAAGGTTAAGGTGCACATAAAACATTTTTGTAAATGGTGTGCACCTCCACAAAAACGCTCAGACTCAAGGTGGTCTCTCACTTGTGCGTGACTAGCTGGTGCTCAGTTCTGAAAGACGCTGATGATCCAGGCATCGTGAGTTTGCTCAGTGTGACGGGGATTCCCCAAGCCGGTGCACGTAGCTTGCTGAAGGACCTGCTTGCAGGCATGTCGGCGAAGGACGCGCCTCTCCTCCAATCAGGGCCGGGGGGGGGACCGGGGCGTGTTAAGAAGCGAGTGGCTGGACGGCGGTGGCGAGTCTGGAGGAGTCTGCACGGGCCTCCTCATCCTGCCCTGTGCATGACCGCCGGGTCTCGCAGTCGTGAGCCGCGACGAGCAAGACGCACAATTCGAGATTCCAAAGAGGGTGGGCAAAACGGAAATAAAATGGCTATTCCAACTTAAAAACAATGATGTTAAAGAAAGCAGAAAATGCTTCCTCATTTCCGTGAGAGTGTCTGCTTCTTAAGAGGCACTTCTACATTAACTAAACGCTTCTCAAGACAGTTTAGATATTTGATAGTCATTTCTCCAGCCATATCCTTTCTACTAGCATTTGGGGACACTCCATTATCAAAGGGGGTGTCATTTCCTTGTCTAATTGCTGGAAAGAGGCACTATCTTTTCAGCTATGAGTGAAAGGGCTGCATAGCAGACAGAAAACTGAATTCCCCAACGAGACAGATGGCATGCATTTTTCATAAAGCGATTATCCCCTCCACTGCTCAGCTTCCACTGTGTTGTTTTTGTGCTTTTTTAAGTCTGTAATAGTTTTTAAATTGGTCACATATGTTTCCAAGATGTAAGTGCTTGCTGAAGATGTATTAAAGAACGCACAAAATGGCAAAATGCGAAATACAAAACACGCAACGCTATAAGATTCTTCACTGTCTTGTACGCTGTTCGGAGGGAAAGAAGTGTTGATGTATTAATAGTCAACAGAAGAAAATGTATAGGGTCTTCTTCCAGTAATACACATTCCTTTTCATCTGCTGATGCAGAAAAAATCTGACTTTGACTGTGTCAACAGTAATAGAACATTTTCCTCACACACGGCTTAATCAATTTAATCTCCTAAAACATTTCAACAGTCAAATTTCAAGTATTCACTGGCATTATCCCATGCAAAGTGCACAATGTAAAGATTTTTAACTGTTTTCCTAGTCGCAATAAACACAAAAAGACTTAACTGCACATAAGAGACCTTCAAGAAATGGTGAAAGAAGTCTCCAGTGGCCGAGGCCCCATGATCTATCAGAAAATCTCTACGTACAGCAGGAATGATGTAGAAAACACATATTAGCGCACAGGCTGAGAGGGCAGTTTTAAAACACACTGCACCTTAGACTGGAGACTGAAGTGAGCCATTATAAGAATTCCTCCCGGTCAATCAGTGCTTCCGCAGGAAGAGCATAAGGACACAAGACAGGTTTCAGGAGAGGAGGCCATGCGGCCCACCGGAACTACTTGGTAGAGTCCGGGAATGGGGCGTGGGGGCGGGGGGGGCTGGGACTCACCTTGTCAGACGCCTCGGAGGCCAGCAGGTTGGTGGCGAGGGTCTGCAGCTTGTGGTGGGCCATGTTCTTGAGGGCGGCCAGGCTGCGGCGGGTCATGGCCTGCTTGAGGTTGACGGCGGGGTGGCTGAGGGAATCGGCGGCGGCGGGCACGGCCTCGTCGCAGGCGTTGAGGATCTCCACGGCGGTGATGCCCATCACGCAGCGGTCCAGGGCGCCTGCGGAGGGGGGACACCAGCGCTTCAGCCACGGGCAGGGCTTGGGGGGGGGACCGGGCCCTGCAGCGCGCACCCACGACACCGCAAGGCCACACGCTCCCCTGCTGCCGGTGTGTCAAAATGGACCGACCTCCTACCGGGGGCAGGCCTTTTCTTCTATATAAGGGATTTTGCCGCTTGTTTTTATATATATATATTTTTTCCAGCTGATGCTCGTCTCTCTCGGCTGCAGTTTCAATCTCGAGAGCGAAACCAGTTTAAACGTCTCATTTCCCCCCCCCTCGGTAGAAAAAAGGTCCACACCATTTGCTGTGAACTGTGAAGTTATTGGGATTGTGTTCAATATCTACTCACAAAAATGGGCTGAGAATTGAACAGGTAAGAATTCTGAATTCCCCTTTCCCTCAAAGACCATAGTACCTGCTCCTCGCATTGATAGAAGACTCCAGTTCACAGTGCCATTACCCATCCAACGCCTCAGCACACTCCACTGTTAATTTCACACTTTACTACCCAGCAATTTCACCTACCACATCTCATTCTTGGGCTTTTTCCTTATAAAGACCTGAAAAACGCAGCCCAAAACCTTCAACTACTTTCGAATTGGCAAATGTTTGCAGAGAGCTTTGCTGGATACAAACCATTCAGATTTTTTTGCTTCATTATCTAAGCTAGGTCGCTTAAAACCAAGGCCTTTTCTACAGCTGACTTGCTCAAGACTGAATATTTTCATTGTGTTTTCCAGTCATGTCGACACATCAAACAGTGGAATGAGCATTTCCTTGGCCTCAAGGGTCTTCCTGGGTTCAGTATTACTATACAATCTGGGCACATCAGACCAAAAACAGATTGCTGAAACACGAGTGGAACACCATACAGCTCTCAGACTGGTCTATTCCTACAACAAAGCACTATCAAATTCAGGTGCGAAGGCATCACCTCTCCCGTTGCAGGTAAAATGACCAGTGCAAAGGAAACGTCACTGTGATTTATTTCGTTTGTCTGACGATAATGTGATCACGATTCTCTGTGAATCTTTACATAAAATGCTCTTAAAAAGTGGAGAACATACCCAAGTATGACCGCAGGCAAAAATTAGGAAAGACAACATACACTGTAAGGAGTCATCAAGCAGATCCTTCAATTTAACACTACGGGTTATAACAAGTCTACAAAAATAGGCACATTTATAGTCATTCCTTCCCCCTCCCAAACCAGATGAAGATAAGCCATCAGTGAGGATAAAATCTGGACAGTTTTCCTGATGAGCCATGAAGAGGCTATGACCTACTCAGCAATATTCCTTTAAAACCAGATTTAAGAGCTTGCATAAACAGGCTAATGCACCTAATGTAGTTACAAATACTGACTTTTAGCTTCAGCCTTATTCAATATTTAGAAAATGTTTCTAAAGTGCATGGCCTCTGGTTTGCTTTGTGCAATGCGATGTGAGTACAAAGCTGGGTAAATAAAATTTAAATGAGAACAGGCCCAGTAAGTGGAATGTAGCTTAATGAAACCTTGTGTAAGCATGGCAAACACAGCACATAAATTATTTACCAGGTTGTTAAAACAGAAGAGCAGGAACTATCACTAAATGGCATAATCATAAAAATATACACCACTGTAATTGCACTTTTTTCATAATGTTAAGAGGACAGACAAAGCAGTCAAGGGCTAAAAACCTTGTCATTTTTTTCCTGAGAATGAAATTACACTCTATATATTATGCAACATTTAGTTTTTTTTAAAAGCCTACTTAAAGGGTAGAACACATAGGCGTTCTGTGAAGATAATTTTTCATTCAACAGAAGGCCAAAAGACAAACACGTGGGAACTTCACCAACACACCAAAGTGTGCAAATAAAGTTATTGCCACTTTATGTAACTTCCTTAGCATCTTTTTTTCCCCAAAGTGACTCGGTCTCTTATCAGAACACTTCAATGGCACTTTGACATAACCAGAATTTACAAATTAGATTAAACATGTTTTAATTAGTAGCTTCACTCAATACATCATCAGTGGAATTTGCCTTTAGGAGGATTCAATATATGGATTGTAGAAGACTTGCATGATTAGATGCATGCAGATATGTAATTATGAGTCCTTAAGGCATTTAAAAGTTTATTAAAGTGAAATTAAAAAAATACTGAAAAACAACAGATCTAAGATATCCATACCTAAACTCTGTAAAAAACAGTCTTAATGTTGTTAAGTTATAAATACACTGTTTTGAAACAGCTTTGAAATTTAACACCTGATTGATTAAACAGCATCACAGGACTAAGAAGATCAGCTCTATATAACACTGCTTTCTTAAGAATGAGTTTATTCACAATGTATAAATCACCACAGTCAAAAAGTAACCGTTTTTCTCTATTAAATACATAAAAAACAGACTACATAACACTGAACACAGTATACAAGTTTCTGTGTTGTGTTGATTTATATAATTCTTTCATCTTCTTCATTCTTTGACTTTAATACATGGTGTGTATAAACCTGCCATAGCTTTGTGTTAATGGCTATGCTACCATGGTGCATACCTTATTTTGCTTTTTTCATTAAACAATTTTATTTTACCATCAAAACCAATGATACAAGCATAAAAATGCACACAAAGATCTGTGTACTGTGAATTTGTTCACATACTGTACATTTGCCACACAAGATCAGATTACTTATTTCTAAATGATCGGATGATGATGGATAGAGCTAATCTGAGCAGCTGAACACCTTTTTTTCCAATTATTTCCAATTTTTAATAACGTGTACAAGTAAAACGCCGTAAGGCAAATACTGCAGAGGGGAACTATGTACTGGAAAATGGCTACTGTACTGCCCATCTATTAAAAGGGTGACAAAACTGAAATCAAGTAATTATAGACCAATAAGTCTGAGTTCTATTACATTTCCATAGCTATAATCAATTATCAGATCTAGAGGATCACCAATGGAAATGGAAATACGAGCCCAGGGGAGAATCAACATGGATGAAGAAAAGGTAGACTTTGCTTAATTAAGTTATAAGGGGTCTGTGAACAAGTATCAGATGCACACAGAGAGCATTTGATAGTGTATTTACTAAGGTCTTCTGAAAATATGAAGTTCCTCATAAAAGAGTAATTCTTAAATTCCAGGTGGTAGGAACACAGGAATGTTTGGATTGAGAACTAATGTTAACGATCAAATTAGGAAGACGTAATCAGTGGAGTACCACAGGGATCTGTACTAGAACCACTGTTATAACTTCATTAATATATCGATAAAGAAATGCATGGGTTGAAGTGCTCTTAAAACCCAAAATTTTCCTTTCTCAAAGGGGGGTATGGGAGAATAAAACAAGTTACTCAGGATGTTGTTGATATCTTGGTGTCTTCAACAGAAATATATTTCATGTCAATGTGATCAGATATAAAATACTGGGTGCTACCCAGCCCAATGAAGAGGTTAATCTGAAAATAAACTATATTGATGGAAGAGGGTGTCAGTAAATGTTCTTTCTTCACCTAGTGCCATGAAAACCTATTTTTAAACAAGTCTGCACCTTGATTCAAGTGTCAGATTTTCAAGGAAATAATTCTGATCTGTAGTCTGACAACCAAACTTGTTTTTCCTCCTACATACGTTATCTTGAAAATGAACTTTGATTCTGTGGGTAGTCCTCACAATGAGCTATCAGGACATCACAATCGGAGTAGTAGCTCAGCAGTGGCCATTTGTAACTGCATCAGAAAAGAGCCCAAGAGCACAGGAACAACTGCAGATCATTATTTCAACTTCCATTAGTCTATAAATGATTAACTGCAGGCTAAAGCTTACAATCGCAACTGTGCTCAGTACGCAAATAATTCACAGATCTTTAAATCAAATAAGACATTAAAACTGACAAAACACCAAGCAAATGATAGCTGGAGTGTAATACTTCAGTACTCTAGTGTTCGAAATACAGAAGTGGCGTGTACCTTTTCACAATGCTGAAAGAGCTGAATATCACAGCCCCTTCCACCACCGCTGAGCCAAAACTGGTTAAGAATCAACAGTAGGAACACCAAAATCCCACCCAGGCATCCCAGAGAGCCTGCCTCAGGAGACCCTCTCAGAGATTTCACAGGGCTGTCTATTTCACGGGGTGGGGGGGTTTCAAGGTGAGCGCACGGGGAGCTTTTGCGAAAGACAGCTTTAACAAAAAGCGCACTGCATTTGCACCGCCTTTAAGACACGTACCGGTGTCCATCTGCCAGACGTAGACGGAGCCGTCGGAGCAGCCCACCACCAGGTAGTCGTCGCAGGGCCGCCACTTGATGACCTGGATGGGGAAGAGGTGGCGGGACGCCAGCATGATGCACTTCCTCTCTCGCAGGCTCAGGAGACCCACCGAGTGATCGCTGGCCACGGAGCAGACGCAGTGCTGGACTCGGTTCTGCAGGGGCAGAAGGAACAGCAGCCCGGGGCATCAGATCCACTGCGATGTGCTTTCTACACGAGGAACACACAACACCTCTTCCCATGCCCCCAGAGAAGAGTTAGCTCCACCTTATCCGTTGTTCAGGATGAAATAACTGTCCGTGATGCCGACGTTAATCTCAACTTGTAGTAGAAACTATTTTAGCCTAGATAAACACAAAGGCCTCAGAGTAAGGAGAGGACGGTTGTAAAGACAAGTATTTTTCTCATGAGTTCCAGAGGGCTACATTAATCAGACTTGTTTTACAGACAACACATGAAAGATGAAGTTCAAATAAAAGCCTAAGGCTGCCCTCTCTTCAGTGTCGATTATTTTGCTAAAAGAACGCCTTCCCATGGTAACCTGTATAATGATGTGCGCCTCATCCCTGAATGAAAATGGATGAAAGGAGAATCCTCTAAAAAGCCTATCATAATTACGAGAAATTAATAAAAATATATATCTTGGAAAACATCCCCTGAAAAAGAAACCATCAGTCATATAAACCCAAACCACTGACCGCAAGTTCACCCAAACTGATGCCTGCTGTGAGTGGTGTCCATGCAATGTGCACATTTTTCCTATTTCCACTAGCTGTTTATCTCTTACAATTCGAGGTGGGATGGAAATAATTTGATCGCTGGCCTACTCATTTCATTACTGGCCTTCTGAGGTTTTGTGACGTTATACGGCAGAGAAAGACCGTGAGAACTAATAGACTGAAAATTGCTGGAGGCTGACTTACTGCGGCTAGTAGATGCAAAATATACCGAACTTCAAAATAAACGACTTGCACAAGCAGAACACCACAAAGTTTTTTTTATCAGAAAAAAAATGACTCGTCTTTTCTTTTTTGCACCGATATATTACTGAACAGAAATGACAGGCAAACTCATGACACGGATTAAAATCGGTTATCAAAATGACTGATCAACAGGGTACCTTCTGCGGAAGTCGCAGGCTACTCATGTGTGGAAACTGTTAGACACAACACAAGTTTTACACCCACAATGTAGGAACTGCACCTGGCTGCAGATGCTGTCTTGCGGGATGCTCTTCCATTCCTTTTGTAGAACCTGGACAGGTATATGCCTGTTCAATGGTCTCTAAGTCAGAAAGTCTCAGAACAAGTGTTCAATGGGTCTCATGGGAGAGTAAAAAGCACAGCAAATGGCACAGTACCACTGAGGATGTATTGTCCTGAAGGAAAGTTGGCAAATAAGGTGTAGCAAAGTGGGAGGGCCGGGAACTGCGCAGTGCAGTCAGGTCAACATCAATCACGACACGTTGAGCTCGGTAGGAGCTAGACTCTCCTGCCAAGGCCAATCCCACTCCGACCTTGTCATCGATCTTGGCGGGGTGTCGTAACTCACGGTCCCCCAGGCTGTGGCCCATCAGAGGTGGACCGCATTTGCCGGTGCCAACCGGGCCTTGGATTTTAGGATTTCAGAACTGTCTTTTGCTCTGCCAGGTCCACAATGTTGGTGGAGGAACTTGGAAGGTCTTGGAAAGTAGCAGCTGATGACATAATAGCACTGTTCACCAGTGTCATTCACTCATTGATTCAGTTTTCTCTCCCAAGTTTCCTTGGTGTGATGAATTGGGAGAATATGAGGAATGGGGCATAGACTATCATCTTGGGGGGGGGGTGTTGGAGGGAGAAGATATAGACTTATAGATGAAAAACATGTGATCCTTTTTCTCAGTGTTGTGTTTATATTTTGCATTGTACATTTAATCCCATATTATTAAATCAAAACCTGCTAAAAATGACATTGCTGGGTGTGAAGACCCAAGATGACAAGCGACCACGTGCAGGCATCGTCCGTTCTCCAACATGCCGTTGGAAGCAAGGCTTTGTTCACTTGACAAACGGAGAATATTTGTTTCCTTTTTGGATCTTCACCAGCCTTGACAACAAACATGCAAAACCACCTCATCACTCGAGCCAAAATAAATGAAGATATAATTATTTATTGGGGCATGCTAACTCTAATCAATCTCAACATTTAGACTTTTTAAACGATCCGTCTTTCTTCTTTCAAACCCAAAGTGTACAGTCTTCTTTCTTCCACTGGTCTTTCCTCCAGAAAATAATAATCCTCACACTTACTGTATATAGCGCTTTTCTGGACACTCCACTCAAAGCGCTTTACAGGTAATGGGGACTCCCCTCCACCACCACCAGTGTGTAGCCCCTACCTGGATGAGCTATCAGTGTGTAGGAGAACTGATTAATGAAGATTTGGCCCAAACATTGGGAACAGCCTACTCCCTGGGATTTTTAATGACCATATAGAATCAGGACCTTGGTTTTACGTCCCGCCCATAAGGACACCGCCTTTTTACTGCATAGTGTCCCCATCACTATACTGGAGCATTAATATGAGCACCTCCTATTGGTCCCACTAACACCTCTTCCAGCAGCAACCTTAGCTTTCCCAGGAGGTCTCCCATCCACGCTCTGTCCAGGCTCACACCTGCTGAGCTTCAGTGGGTTGTTAGATGTGAGCTGAAGGGTGATATAGCTGCTGGCTCTATATATATATATCTTACAAAAACCACTCATGAATTACACTTACTCAGTCTTCTCACTCTCACTTCACTCTCCATCTTCATTAATCACCAAGCATTTGTATTTACTATGTGACACAGCTTAGCACCCACAACCTCACCTCGCACAACTCTTGGTCTTCACGAGCAAACAGAAACGGTTCCTGGCTGACACCGCCGGCCCTCCCTTCAGCCGGTACTTGCACCCCTGACACAGCTGTAGGCAGCCGGGTGTGTTCTCACACTCCCAGAGACTGCCTGACTGTGTGCCGATACCCGGGCCATCTAGACTCGCTTTCCCGGCTGTGGGGAGAAGACATGCCGCAGCTGTGCCAAGCGCTGCCCCTCTCCTGCAGGTACGAACGCCCTGTTCCGGCTGGCCAAGCCTGTTCCCCATTCCCACTGATCCGAGCCGATGACCTACCACGCCGCTCCCGTGTCCTGCACCCGCGACACCCCTCAGCACAGACTACGCTGTACTTTCTCCAGCCTCCCTAGCTTACCGAGTCTCACCGGCCTGGAAATCAATCCAATCCAAGCTCGCGAGAACTCCTCCCTGGATCTCCCTCTCTCCCTCCCTGCAGACTAGAGCCCAAACCAGAGACCAAAAGCCTCTTAATTAGCCCGGAGGAGTGGCTAATTCCACTCGGAGCCTGTCCCAGCTCTTTTCCCTCACATGGAATTTCGCTCCCTGTGACCACTAATTACTCAGCCAGACCAGGTGTGCCTCGGCCTTCTGCTGGCTTTTCAAATTACCAGGCGGCTTTCTCACAAAGCCCCCCTCTCACTAACCTCACAGGGTGATTTAGTGCTTATGTCACAGTCTCAGTCCCTCCAGTGCTTAACAGTCAGTCACGAAGGATCAATTAATCAAAATGACACCAAAAAAATCAATTTCCAAAAACTGTACATTTCTTTAAAAAAATATATACATAATGTTTCTTCTGGTGCTCAGTACATAATACTCCCTTTTGCCATAAGTCTCAAGACCAAAATGCTACAAATTTTGATTTTCTTTTCTTGCATTAAAAATTTAGTTTTCAGACAGGAAAACGACACCGCACATAGAAATGGTTTACTTGTATGTTAAGAAATGTACATTTTTAGATTTGTACACAAGGTTTAAATGCAGCACTTTTATGAAAGTTTATGAAATTAGTCAATAACAGCTGAAAATAAAACAAAAAACACGATCAACCCAGTCATCCACGGTCTCCATGGTCACTAATAATATCTGTTCTGCTGTGATTCTCTTCTGTAACAGCAGGGGTGTAATAACAGCACTTCTCTAGACTTTAACGACTGTGTGCTGGATTTCAAGACTCTCAAAACGTGATTATCAAGAAGACCACACAAAGGGCCAACTGATGTATGATACGTTTGAGAGTTAAGGCTGAGATTCGGACAAATGTGTGTTTATATATATATAAACGCTTGATATTGCTAAGCATGATTCTAGTGATGAGGATCAACGTGTGAGCATTCAACATTAATTATTAGCACCTGATGATAATACTGTACAGTGGAAGAGGATAGATGGGAAAAAAAAGAGAAACTCTGTGGAGATCTGAACAGCATCTAAATTGAAACTGCAACCTCCAGTGACAGGCGGTGTTCCCAGGTGGTGATTCAACAGCACCAGAATCCTTGACCAGGAAGAAACACTTCAGTGGCTGCAGGGAAGCAGAACAGCAAGGAGCTCCGGCACCGCGCGAGACTGAATACATCTCTCTCTCAGCATTTTATCAGCATCACAGGGGGACTTTCAGCTTAATGAGGTCATGTGTAACGTGCTTAATCAGAACAGCACTCTGCTACTCATTGTAAAAAGCGCACTGTTGTGAAGCAGTTACAAGTGGTTGCATGATATAATATTGCATGTTCTGCTGTAATTCCAGCAAATCCCCATTAAATAGTCTGGATGCATAGCGACTATGTTACAGGCATTTACACTACTCAATTACTTTATGGGTATGAGCAATGCATGGGTTTTACATAAAATAATTATTTAGTCCTGTATTTAGTGACCTTAATACCAAAGCACCCCAGAGTGCAATTCAAAACTGTAAAACGCAGATCAATTTAAAAAGCAAATACGGTTAAAAGGCATTTGCACAGAAGCGCATTTGAACCGTCCGGTTTCCAAACCGAATTTCTCAAAGCGCAGCGTTTCCGACGCTGGCTGTAAGTTAACAGGGGCTCCTGCAGGCGACAGTGGGTAGGAGCAAGGAAATCCGCGTTTTCAGATCTGCAAGAAATTCTACACCGATGTGAATAGCAGGGCCCTGACCCATGAAGCACTTTATATATTATTACAGCCACCTTGAAATCAACTCCAAATCTCACAAGCAACCCAAGTAAAGACCCCCAGCAGCGGGGTGGTCAATAACCTGCACAGTGAACAAACAGAATCAGGCAAACCAGCAATGAAGTTACAGTAACCAAGACAGGAGCTTAGGAAAGGATGAACTAGCATGTTCCTCCTTCCTCTTCACACAGATCTTAGAAATGTTCCTCAGGTGACAGAATGCAATACAGTACATACAGATTTAATGTGAAAATCAAGTAACAGCCCATTATCAAGAAAGACAGTGAGATTCTTAACAGTGCGATAAAGTTGCTATCAAAGGTGTGATAAGACTGCGATCCAGGGTGTGTCCTGCTTTGCTTGCCGGGACGGGCTCCAGCTCCCCCACAGTAAAGCAGGCTAGAAAATGTATGGATGCATGATGGGTGACAATCACCTGCCGTGTCATAAGTCTAGACGAAAGAACCACCAGCATGAAGCAAAAGCCAAGCTCAAATTTCCTGACCATGTTACTGAGTGAAAGCAAGGGTGTCTACACACAACAGTTCACTGAACAGCAAGGGTCCCAAGACAGAGCCCTGGTGGACACCAAACCGCATTCGCCGAAAGACATTATGAAAATCCGAGAGAGATGAGAGGCAAAATAGTCTAAAGTCTTTCAAGGAACAGCAAAGAACAACTGTAGACATTGTGTTTCACAGTGTATAACATCAGCTCTACTTTAGCTAAATGGCACTCATTGACGCAGCTACCCACCTGAACTACTCATTGCAGATGCACAGTACTGTCAGTACTATGACCAAGATAAGATAGAGAGAGATCACTTTATTGGCCATATACAATTTCTTACATTAGGAATTTGTCTTTTCGCATACCCCAGCTTGCTCTCCATGAGACACACAGACACACAAACAAGGAGAGAAGCTTGGGGTCAGAGCGCAGGGTCAGCCATTGTACAGAGCCCCTGGAGCAGTTGGGGTTAAGGGCCTTGCTCAGGGGCCCAACAGAGTAGGATTCCTCTGCAGGCCACGGGATTTGAACCGGCAACCTTCCGGCCACAGGCACAGATCCTTAGTCACAGAGCCACTTCTCCGCCCCAAGATGGAATTTTCTCTGACTGATCAATTGCAAGGAAACATCCAGAAAGCTTATTTCAGTTACTTTACATGAAGGTTAATGTTCAATACTTTACCGAGACCCTAGGTGACAAATTAGTTTTTTTTTCAGAATGGGTTTACCTCTTGTAGCAGCCAGGTTTTCATTAAGGGTACCTTCAGTGTAAAAAAGATATATTTGTTTTACAAGATACATATTGTACTGCATCGGGTCTATGGATTGTCAGAAACATGCATCATACTTTAAGTGCCAGCATCTTGGTAAGGCCCAAAAAATGGTGATATGAATGAAAACCTTTCAGTTAATACATTCGTGCTGCATGAAGATTTATCATGACCTAAAAGCCATAATTTTAATCAAGGATAACAAGCTAAAAACACAAACAAGGGACAACTGGGAGGTGGTCTTCAGGTCCTCACTGCTGCCTATTTCGTCAACCTTGTGGGTTCTACAGTAAATCTCTGTCTTCGGTGTTAGTCAAAAAGTCGATTCCCCCACACTCTTTACTGAAAATGATACATCTGACCTCTTCACTCTGAGAACCTACAGAAATAAGAGGCAAGATTGTCTCAGATCTGTGCAAATAGACCTCTCCTGTCCTGATCATCATAAATCAAGAAAACCTTCAGTGCCACAAACATGACAGCAATCACAGCCCCAGCTGGTGTGAGAGGAATCTGTCATGCTGAAATTCTTCTATCCAAGGATAAATATTTTATGTGAAATATGTACTCTCAAGCGGGAATTCTGAAATGAAATATTTACCCTTTCATACTTTCACAGAAAAAAATAATTTCCAAGCTAAGCTGTTGAGAAAGAATTCATCATGGAATGGAAAGAAGACTAGCAAACCAATGTGAAAGTATTTATTAAGGACACCATTCCAAACACACTGGACCCATACCAATTCGCCTACCGGTCCAACAGATCCACAGATGACGCAATCTCCATTGCCATACACACTGCCCTATCCCATCTGGATAAAAAGAACACATACGCAAGACTACTATTCATCGACTTCAGCTAAGCTTTTAACACCATCATTCCAGAGAAACTAGTCAAGAAACCCAGTGCACTGGGTCTCAACACCACCATCTGCAACTGGATTCTGGACTTCCTGACGGGCAGATCCCAGGCTGTAAGGCTTGGAAACCACACCTCCAGCACACTAACTCTGAACACTGGGGTCCCCCAATTGTATTGTTATTTTTTGTACTACTTACCATCTGAGAGCTAGCAAAATAGCAGTTCATTATACCATATACCTGTGTATGAGTATAATGAATTTACTTGAACTTATAAATAGAAATTAATTTCTGGATATGAAGATTCATTCCAGCATGAATATTCAGAATGGATGAAAATTTGTCCTTGCACTGAATCCTAGATTACATTAAGGTAGAGGCTGACCTGCTAAAGAGTTGCTGGGAGTGAACAGCACTCAGACTGTGTCAAGAAGAAACTGTGGGATGTTCACTTGATGGCGGCACTACTACACAAAATAGGAAAAATAAGGGCTATTGGAAGATACTGGAATGAATGGATAAAAAAACAGTAGAAAATCGGGGCAGATTCTGAAAATGGGAGGATGTAATCAGTGGAGTATCAAATGGGATCAGTGATAGGACCACTGCTCTTCAATTTTTTTCCTTCAGTGAGGACAGGAGGCACATTTTTTTTACACAAAAAGGCTGTGGGAGCTGGAACGAACTTCCCAACCATATCGCTGAAGCTGATACCAGCTCTTTGTTCAAGAAAGCCCTGGGTTAACTGTTCAACTCTAACACCTCCAGGTGACCACATGGGGTTAGATGGGCCAGATGGCCTTCTCTTGCTCGTCAACACTCTCATGTTCTTCCACCCAGGAACTCGAGGACTATGGCAGTCCATCTGATCGGAGAGCTGAGGAATGAGCTAGATTAAAGCTTGTAACAATGAGAATGTCACCCCTCCCCTCCGAAACAAAACAAAACAACAACAACAAAAAGATAACGCTAATCAATGATGAAAAGGCCCGTGTTTCTGTAACTAAACGATAACGGGGTGGTGCTTCAGTCAGCATTCCAATGCAGGACAGCGAGTCAAGGGGTCACAAAGTTGAACTATTGATCTGCCAAAAAAGTGGTTTTATGATTTAATCAACAGTAATGTGGTCAGTTATGGAGAAGAGCTCCTAGGCATAGGTATACTAAGCACTTGGGTACTATAGATTTCAACAGATATAGTATCCAGCCTCCTCTCACATATCAATTAAATGCTCCAGTCCTTAAGTACAAGTATTGATATGCTATAAACCAGCAGCATAACTAAGCAGGTCATTAAATCCAAAGTAATTCTCAGGCAGGTTTATTTACAGTTTGTACTACTCCGGGTAATGGACACCAATATTGCTTCTGTCAATCAATTCAAGGCAGAGGTTTTCTTGGGAGGAGGAGGTACCAAATACATGACGCACTCCTACCCAGGGAAACCAGGATGGTTTCTGGGACTGAGCAGGGAAATTAATTTTCGCCGAGCCAACATCCCACTCGGGGTGACTCATTCCGATTTGGACCGCTCAGGCCTCCAGCACAAATCCGGTCTTATCAGCATGCCACGGATGCATCGTCAGACCGACGCAATTAAAATCACACTGCAAGCTCCCGCAAGAAGCCAGAAGTACCCTGGACCGATCAATCCCATGTACCATCAGCGACGGCGAATCGGCGTGCGGGGAAAAATTGGCAACAGTCAGGTAACAAGTTTTAGACTCCAGCTGCACTCCAAATGAGCATCTTATTTGAACAGACACGTCGGATCAAGAACACATTTTCCCCACACGCAACGATGATCAAGGGAGGAGGTATTGTGAAGTGTTTAGGTAAAGGGCTCTTTTGAAAATAAGCCACTGGGAGTGCATGGCCTTTTCAACTCCAGCCGCCTGCAATGGAACAGGGCCCTGCTCGAAGCAAACGTTTCATGACTGATCAAACCGCGGATCAGTTATCTGACTCGGCGTCGGTAAAGCACCTTGGCACTGCATCAAAACACACCAGACAAAGGTCTGCCAAGAATCCCGGGGCTCTCCTCCTTAAAGCTTTCGTCCAACGGGGCAGAAACCAGGAGGAAACCCGCAGGGGGGGCGGAGGGGTGGGGAGGGCAAGGGAAGAAAACTCACGCTGCAGTTCTCCGGGGGAACGAGAAGCTGGGTGATCTCCCCGCCGTGGACGCAGAAGATGTGCTTCATCTCCCCGGTGAAGATGTCCCACACGATGACGGAGAAGTCCACCCCCCCCGAGACCAGAGCGCGCTGGTCGTAGCGCGGGGAGGCCTGGTGAGGGTACAGCAGGCAGGTCACCTTGTTGCGGTGCCCTCGCAGGATGCGGTGTGGTGGCCACCCTGCAGGGCAAGAGGGGAAACAAGCCCGTGACC